GTGTCTCCAAGGTGGGTTGGTAATTTGGGGGTCCAAGTTTTCTTGATAAGCCATCTCCACATATTTTAAAAATGCTTCAGTATTTACAAAGCCCTCTCCTCACCACATCTCTGTGAAGTGGGACTGTAATTAGCCCCATTTTACAGAGACATAAACTGAGGCTCACAGAAACAAAGCTCTAAGTCCTATAAGCTCACTTTTCTGAGCTCATGGTTTCCTTCCCCTCTATAAAATGAAAATGATGAACCTTGTGCTACCTGTCTCACAAGTCTGTTGTGAGCAAAGTGCTCACTAACTATAAAACATGGTATTATCATACCTTAGGAATGACCTCCACTCCAGGCATCCCCTAAAACCTTCCTGTGGTATAGTGGGTAGCCTTGAGTTGGGACAGGCCATGCCAGCAGAACATCATTCAATAAATATTTATTAAGCACTTGCTATGTGCCAGGCACTGGGCTAAGCAGCAGGGATACAAAAAGAGGCAAAAGACGATTCTTGCCCTCAAGGAGCTTACAATCTAATGAAAGAGACAACGTGCAAATAAATATATACAAAGCAAGTTATGTGAGCTGTGGCAGGGCTTACCATCCTGGAGAGGTTTTGAGGACAGACTTGGGGCTAGATATAGGAGATAGCTGTGTTCCAAGGACCCACCCACCTAAGCTCCTAAAGGCTCATGGTATGAAGCTGGATCATTAAGTGAGAAATTTTGGGGGTTTTGGACACAGCAATTAGCCGTGAGGCAGAATGGGGCAATGGAAGGAACACTGGCTTTGGATTCAGAACACTGGGGTTTGAATCCTTCCTCTGTCATTTATTATCAACAGTAATTACCAATATCATTGTGTGATCTTGGACAAGTCACCTAAATAGAATGAGGAGACTAGAGCAGGTGGTCTCTAACATCCCTTCCAAGCTCTAAATCAATGAGCCTACATTCTAAAGTCCCTGCCAGGCCTTGGGAGGAATAATGGCAAAGTAAAAAGGTGCTGGATTGGAATTCAAGAGTCCCTGAGTTCAAATCCTGATTCTATGAGTTATTATCTGTGTGACCTTGGGCAAGTCCTTAGCTCCTATGGGCCTCAGAATCCTCATCTGTAGAGTGAAGGGACTGAACCAGTTGGCTTCTAAGGCTCCTTCCAGCTCTACATTCTATCAGCCTGTGATCTATTAAGGTGCATAATTGAAGTCAGTGACTGGAACATCCATGATGATAAGACTACAGATCTTTCAAGTACTGAAGTTCACTGAATCTACTCATTATCCATTTGATTATAAATAGCCCCTAGGGAAACACAAAATGGCTTCTATTTGGTACATGGCCTAAAAAAAGGGTAGGGACTTCCCTATAATCTTATAATAAGTTGGCAGTCAAACATTGGAATGTCTTAACTCTTTTTGGCCATTAAGACAACTGGACCTAATCAGGTTTCACCATTGGCCCATTTTCCAGGCCATCATGGAAAAATCTTAGGGTTCCCTGATCAGTAAGGGAGTGGGGATGGGGTTTGGAAATAGCCCTCTATCTCAGAAGCTGGTTTGTTTCTCTGAGCCCCATCTCCCCAAGATAGAATCTCCAGAGTATGTCATAGGATAAAATGTCATCACAGGACGCGGCGGAGGTACAGGTAGGAAGAGGAGGCAATGATTAGATTAGACACCTGGAACAGGGCCAGCCCCGGGGAAAACTGTGAAGTAGGCAGAGTTTGCCCTTGATGCGTCTCACTCCCCATCTCACCTCTCCACGGCTCCTGGGGTGGGGGGGGACACATGGAATCCTAGAACTGGAGGTAGAAAGAATCTTCATTCAACCCTCCTCGTTTTACATATGATGAAATGGAGGCCCAGCGAGGCCAAGTGATTTGTCCAAGGTCACACAGGAAGTAAAAGGTCAGAGGAGGATGGGTTCCTTCCCCATCCCCCGTGGATGTAGATGGAAACCTCTGTTTCCAAGCTCTTACCACTCACTACCTCCATCCAACCCATGCTATGCTCCAATCTCTCCAGTCATGCTATCTGTCAACTGATCATAAACTCATCAAATGTCAGAGATGGAAGGGCCCTTGGAGACCATCTCATCCAATCCTTTCACATTGGAAGGGTAAAGAAAGCATGACTCAGAAAAGGAAATTGCCAATAAGTGAGAGAGCCCCAGCTCAAAGCCCGGTCTTCCGACTCCAAGCCTGTTTGTTGCTCCGGTGCTGGATGTCATAAATCTCATCATTACAGCTGAGTCTAAATATTTTTTTCCAGATTGTCACAACAGGTTAAATATCAAACAGGGTAAGGGTTAATTTGAACCATCTTTACATTGGAAACATGGTTCTCACAACCTACTGTTTGGGATGATGAGGAAGGAGCCAAACAGAAGGGAAAGCAATTTGGATAGAATGGCAGAATTGAAATTCAAGCTATCGCTATGCTATTCACTGTTCTGGAAGCAGGGACGGGAGAGGGCCTGGGGTTTCATTGGACTGGGGACTCCCAACAATGAAACTCCCTCTACCAAGTGAGTAGGAGGCATTCTAAGAGGAAACAGTCCCTAAGCCTATGGGAAACAGGAAAGATAATAATTACTTCATTGTCTAAAGAGAGACCCTCCCACCTGATCTCAGTCTCATCAGGGATAAGAGCTATTTGGAAAAATGGGACTGTAGGAGATTGAAGAATGAACCTGCCCAGTTGGGAAAGCACCAGTGTGACTCCATTCGCCCCCTACAGGCTAGCCTGAACACTACCTGGCACTGCCTTTTCAAAGCAATGTAGAGGTTAGAACAGAGAATGTCAGAGCTGGGAGGGACCTTAAGACACAGAGTGTTAGAACTGGGAAGGACCCTAGAACACAGAATGTCAGAGCTGGGAGGACCCTTAGAACACAGGAGGTCAGAAGTGGGAGGCCCCTTAGAACAGAGAATGTCAGAGCTGGAAGGACCCTTAGAATAAAGAATGTCAGAGCTGAGAGGGACCTTAGGACACACAATGTCAAAACTGGAAAAGACCTTAGAACGCAGAATGTCAGAGCTAAGAGAGACATTAGAACACAATGTCAATATTAGGAACCTTTTTGCATAGGCTATTAGAGCAGGAAGAGACCCCAAAAACCATTTGACTCCAACCCCCATCATTTGGAACCCAGAGAAACCGGCTTTCTCATGGCCACATGAGACAATGACTAAACTAGTAGTGAAAGTCAAGTGTTTCATTTTCCTAATATGGAGCTCTATCTGCTCCACTTCCTCTCATCTCTATCTTTCCTAACTTTGAATTTTCATAGCCTATAGCAAAAATTATCAATATGTTACTACCTAAAGATTGACACCCCTTCCCACCCTATCTGCCATGTTCCCACATTCCATACTCACGTCAGAAGTAAGAGACTGCTTGGAATTATGAATCAGTAAAAAGGACAGTTTGCCTGTTGGTTTGGAATCATGCTAGGGTTTCCATCTGCCAAACAGTCACCAAACACTTATAAATACCTACTATTTGCCAAGCTCATTGGCCCTAACCCCCTTACTGATTTCTCTCTCTTTGGTTTCTCAATTGGCTAGCCTGATTCATTGCCTTCACAGGATAAGGGTGGCTCTTCCCGAATGGACCTTTCCAATTCTTTTTCTTTTTTTAAGTTTTATTGATGCGTTATGTTTTTACATTACAAACATTTGAAAATTACTTCTATGAGAGGTCTCTTTTAACAAATAAAACAATTAAGTCCGACTAACAATTTAATGACCTCATCTGAAAGTACATGCAACATTCCATAACTCTAATATCCTCTGCTTTGTTATTTTTTAATTTTTAAAAAATTAACAGAAATTTATTTTCTCTCCCTCCCACTTCCCACACCATTGAAAAAAAAGAGAGAAAAGAAAACAAATTCCTAGTAACAAATGTGACTAGTCAAGCAAAACACATTCCTTCACTGCACCCTTAATCTGTCATCCCTCTGATTTCTAGGAAATGGGTAGTATGTTTCACCAGCCCTCTGGAATCAGGAGTGTCCATTGAATTGATCATAGGTCTTAGAGTTTTCAAAGTTCTTTGACTGCAGTGCTTTTGTTAAGGTAGAAATTGTTCTCCTGGTTCTGCTCATCTTATTCTTTGTATAAAAGTCCTCAAAATTGTCTGTTCTTTTAACATGGATGTTGTACTCTAAATCGTTCATTTGGTTCTGCTCACTTCATTCTGCATCAGTTCATATAAGCCTTTTCACGTCTTTTTGAAACAATCTATTCCTTCATTTCTTACATTATAATAATATTCCAATACATTCATATATTTGTTCAACCATTCCTTAATTGATGAGCACCCCTTTAGTTTCTAATTTTTTGCTACCACAAAAGAGTTCCTATAAATATTTTTGTAAATATGGAACCTCTTCCTGTTTCTTTAATCACTTTGGGTATAAACCTAGCAGTGGTATACCTGGGTCAAAGGGTATGCACTATTTAGTAACTTTTTGTATATAATCCCAAATTGGTTTCTAAAATGGTTGTACCTATTCACAGGTCCACTGAGTGCATCAATGTGCCTATTTTCCCACAGCCCCACAAACATTTATTATTTTCCTTTTTGTTATCTTTGCCTATCTGATGGTATGAAGTAAGATTTCAGAATTATCTTAATTTGAATTTCTCTAATTAGTAGTGACTTGGAGAATTTTTTCATATGGCCTTAGATAGCCTGGGTTTCTTTCCTTGATATAAATCCTTAAACTATTTATCAATTTGGGAATGGCTTTTATTCTTATAAATCTGAATTAATTCCTTACATATCTTAGAATGAGGTCCTTGCCAATTTACAGAAAAAAGCACTTTGTGATTTAAGCCAGTAGAACAAGAGAGTTATAGAGCTCTCAGTGACCTTAGCAGTAGTGGGCGGGGCCTGACCCTGTAGCACAGCCACCATTAACACCACCACTGGATGTGGTTTTGTTTCTTTGGCAGGTGACAGATGGTGGGACCATAAAGCAGAAGATCTTCACATTTGATGCCATGTTCTCCACCAACTCTTCCCACATGGAGAATTACCGGAAGAGGGAAGACCTTGTCTATCAGTCCACTGTGAGGTGAGGGGCTTGGAAAGGACATCTTCTACATCTGTCTTTTGGACCTATGAGCACATCTGATCCATTGTTGCCTTGGAGACACTGACTCAGAAAGGCTATGGGGATGAGGACATTCCTGTGGAAAGAGGGAGCTCCTTAGTTAGTTATAAAGTCTAATATCACTATGGCCATTTTGAAGGCCCTGGGCCAGGAAAGGCAGCCCTTAGGTGATGGAGACAAAAAAAGTTGCAAAGACTGAGCTGGCAAGCTTCAGTATGGATTGATTTGAAGGTTATGAGTGCTAGAACAGATAATGAAGATGGTTTAGGCCAGGGGTAGGGAACCTTTGGGCTTGGGACCACATGTGGTCCTCTAGGTCCTCAAGTGTGGCCCTTTGACTGAATCCAAACTTCACAGAACAGATCCCCTTAATAAAAATATTTGCTCTGTAAAACTTGGAATCAGTCAAAAGGCCACACTGAAGACCTAGAAGGCCATATGTGACCTCAAGGCTGCAGGTTCCCCACCCTTCATTTAGGCCATCCCAATAATTTCACAAATAAGGGAACTAAGGCCTATGGTGGGTAAAGGATCGGTCCAAGCCCAGATATCTGGTTTGTGGCAGAACTGGGATTCCATCCCAGGTCCCCGGACTCCTAGCCCAGTGCTGTTTCTGCTGAGATCCATCCCTAAAGGCAGGAGTGTGCCGAGAAGTATTTAATGGTGGCTTTCAAAAAAAAAGTATTTACAAGACACACTTTCAAGTTTAATCTGTATTATTAACATTTTCTCCATCACTTCCTTAAGTCTAGATAATCAACAACCAGTGAAGCTCAATTTGTGATGTTTGCTGACTTCAGAGGTGTAAATACATTGAACATTTAACAATTGGCTCCAAAAAGTGTAAGCTGGCTCCAGCACATCCATGCCCCACACCCAGAGCCCCAGATGTCAACAATGCTAATGATGGTACCATTCCTCCAGCACAATCAGTCCGATTGGCCCTTGAAACTGACCTGGAGTGTTCTGGGAAAAGTCCTGGACAGGGAAGCTCAGCCATTCACAGGCCTTCTGGCCATGACCCATCATTTTCCTTCCTTTGGGCTGTTTCTTCATTGGTCAAGAAGGGCCATAATAATGTCTGCTCTGCTTACGTGGGATGAGGATCAAGTAAGATAATGATACCACCTTCCATATATGTGTACACCCTTCTTACACACATACCCTAGGCATGACAGAGGCATGATGGTCTAGCGGAAAGCATGGAACCAAGAGATCTGGTTTTAAGTCTCATGGTTGTCACTTATTAGCTGAGGGACCCTGGGGAAGTTAATGCATCTCTCTGAGTCTCAGTTTCCTCATCTGTATTTAATATGGTGGACTCTGGCCCCACTTTCTCATGGCCAGGACTGTTATATTTCACACACACACACACACACACACACACACACACACACACACACACACACACACACCTCTCCCTTTGCTAAGTCAGACCCAGACAATAGAAAAAGGCAGCACCAAACATGGGATCAATGTGGAATGTCCCAGAAAGCTCCAGTCCTACAATCCCCTCTTAGGGGGGCTTAGGTCCAGCTTAGGTGAACTTGGCATGTGCCAGAGCCCCCGTTACACATGAAATAGAGATGATCATTTTCACACTTCCTACTTAGAAGTTGTTGTAAGAAAAATACCTTGTGAACTTCAAAGGAATAGGGAATAAAGTTCCATGATTTCATTGATAAAGCAAATTCTCAGAAAAGGAAATTTCCTCTACAAATAAACTTGGATGCCTGCTCTGCTATTTATATTCTCAGTCTCAGAAAAGTGACCACAGAACTGAGATGCTCAGGGACTTGTCCAGGATAACCCAGCCAGGATGTTTCAGATATAAGACCTGAACCCAGGTCTTCTTAGCTTTGAGACAAGTTTTCTAGCTGCTATGCCAAACTACCTCGTATCAGCTTTAAAGCACTATAGAAATGTCACTTTTCATCCCAAGAGAGATGTGCCTGACCCATTGTTCTACCCAGACACAAAGTAGTCTCTGTTGGGCACGCTAACTGTAAGATGTTAGCAATGATTACTAGAGCATCTAAGATACATTAAGACAAAGAAATACACAAAGCTGAAAGGGCCATTAGAACCCAGAATGTTAGAGATGGGAGGGGGCCCTTAGAACACAGAATGTCAGAGCTGGAGGGGCCTTAGAACACAAAATATTAAAGGTGGGAGAATCCTTAGAATAAAAAGTGTCAAAGCTGGAAGAGACTTTATAATATGGACTATCAGAGTTGGAGAGGGCCTAAGAGCACAGAACTTAAAAACCAGAAGCCCCTCTAGAACTGCCCCTTATTTGTTGGTGGAACCATCATCCTTCTAGTCATCCAGGTTGACAACTTTAGATTTATCCTGGACTCACCTTTCTCCCTCAACCCCCCATGTCCAATCAGATAACAATTGCTATTGAGTCACCTCCATAGTATCTCTTATCTACCTAATCCTCACCCCATTACCTAGCCTTCTTTGATGATCTAACCGTAACCCTCATTTTTTCCATTCACATGGCTACCACTAGCTCACGTCCTCCTCCCCTCCTGTATGGATTATTGAAATTGTCTCTTTTTTGTGTCCTTTTTTAATTAATTTATTTTGATTTTTCAATATTCACTTCCATATGCTTTTGAGTTTAAAATTTTTCTCCCCTTTCCTCCCCACCACCCTCCCCAAGATGGTGCACAATCTGATATAGGTTATACATATACATTCCTATTAAACATATTTTCACATTAGTGATGTTGTAAGTAAGAATTAGAACCAATAGGAAGAACCGCCAGAAAGAGGAAACAAAACAAAACAGAAGAAAAAAGAATAGCAAATAGTATGCTTCGATGTGCATTCAAACTCCATAGTTCTTTCTTTGGATGTGGATAGCATTTTCCATCTCGAGGCCTTTGGAGATGTCTTAGATCCTCAAATTGCTGGGAAGGGTTAAGTTTATCAGTATTAGTCATCACACAATGTGGCTGTTATTGTGTACAACATTCTCCTAGCTCTGCTCACTTCACTCAACATCAGTTCATTTAAGTCTTTCCAGGTTTTTCTGAAGTCTGCCTGCTTATCATTTCTTATAGCACAGTAGTATTCCATTACATTCATATACCACAACTTATTCAGCCATTCCCCAATTGATGGGTATCCTCTCAATTTCCAATTCTTGGCCACCACAAAAAGAGCTGCTATAAATATTTTTGTACATGTGGGTCCTTTTCCCATTTGTATGATCTCTTTGGGATACAGTCCCAGAAGTGCTATTGCTGGGTCAAAAGGTATGCACATGAAATTATCTCTTAATTGAGCTCCGTACCTCTAGTCTCTCTTCTCTCCAATCTGGCTTCCATAGTGTTGCCAATATTTATTCCTAGAGTCACTCCCCTGATCAAAAAGTGTCGGTGGTTCCCAATTTCCTCTGGTGTAAAATACAAGTTTGTTTTTTTTTTTTACATTTAAAGCCTTTTGCAGTTGGACCCATCCTACCTTCCTAGGCTTATTGCACAATAATCTCCATGAAGTACTCCATGTTCTAGCCCAGCTAGGCCTTCTGCTCTTCCCCATACCTAACATTCCATCTCACATCTTTTTGTTTTTACATAGAATGTCTACTATGGCTGGGACATGCTCCCTCTTCACCTTTACCTTGTTGACTCTCCAGCTGCCTTGAAGTCTGAGTCAGAGGCTCCTCCTGCCCCAGGTCTACTAGGCCCAAACCTCCAACTGCTCCACCCATTCCCCCCCCAGATATTACTTAGTATATATTTTGAATTTACTCATCTATGTTCATGTTGTTTTGGTGCAAAACAATGGAAGCTCTCTGAAGGCAGGGATTATGTACTTTGTGTTTTTGTATCCCCAGCACCCAGTAAAGCACCTGGCACAGAATAAACACTAAATTAATACTTGTTGGATGAATGAATGGGAGGAATCTTAGAATCTTAGTGTATTGGAGATGGAAAAAACCATAGAGACCAACCCAACTTCTTCAGTTTACAAATGAGGAAACTGTGACCCTCTAAGGCAAGAGTTCCTAACCCGAACCATGGCTAGGTTGAACTTGGATGGGAAAAAATACATGTTATCGTCATTAACCCCTAACTAAAATTTTGCATTTCCTTCAATTATTTAAAAATATTATCCTGAGAAGGGGTCCGTGGGCTTCACCAGAGTGCCAGAAGAGTCCATCATACATATAAACACATACACACATGCACGGGAATAAAAACAAGTTAGGAATCCTTCCTGTAAGGAAAACTTTAGAAGAACTCGTTAGTTGTAGGATCATAGATTTAGAGAAGGAAGGAACCTTAGAGGATATTAAGTGTAGCCTCATTCTACAGATGAGGAAACTGAGTCTTAGAGAGATTAAGTGACTTGTCCATGATCATACAGCTAGTGTCAGAGATGGATTTGAATATTGGTCTTCCATACCATGGCCCCACCACCGCCACCAAAAAGCAGCTTAGGTCTGACCTTCAAACCCAGTATTCATTCCATGACACTAGCTGATGATGGCTCCTTCAATTGCTTCCCTCTCCTAGGGCCTTGGGGCCTTTGGAAATTGAAGACTGCCGTCTTCACCAAATTGCCATCTGGCCTAACAAAACGTGGGCTGGCAGTTTACCTGTTAATGATAATAGCTTGCATTCGGATAGCGTGTTATGGCTGCATAGCAGTTTACATACATTACTTCTGAGGGTTGTTATGAGGATCAGATGAGATAATTAGTACAAATAATGTTTTCTCCCCTTCCCAACCCCCCAACATCCTCTTCTGATGCCTTATCCATGACATAGGCATGACCTTGGGCTCTGAAAGCCTATGCCAACAGATCTCATGCCCTCTTTGCTACCATTAAACTACAAAGGGGTTGATTGCAGGAACAATGGACTATGGACCAGTGATGGACGTCAGTTTCCTAAGGTCCAGCCTAGCTAACTACAGAGAGGTCCATGGGTTTTGTTTTC